AATATATATAAATTTAATTGTATATTATAATTTTCTATGCAAAATATTTTTATATGAATCTCGAAAATTTATAATTTTCTAAAAATTAATATTAATTTATATAATCTTACTACCATGCACAGATTACAAACCACAGAACGAGAATCCAGGTGGATAGCAACGCCGCTTGGAAAAGCGTGTTTGGCTGCATCTATACCTCCCAGAGAGGGATTATTTCTATTCGAGGAATTACAGAAAGCAAGAAGATGTTTCGTTTTGGACACAGAATTACACGTGATATATTTAGTAACTCCACTCTCTGCTGGATGTCAGATTGGAACTGTCGATTGGATGATGTTCCACGAATTGTGGAATACCATGTCGGAAAGCGAGCGCAGAGTCGGAAAACTTATTGGAGTAGAAGAACGTTTTGTCATGTCAGCCATAAGAGGAGTCATTAAACCTGGAAAATCGGTAATCGCTGTTTGTCTACTATAGAATATATCGGAACCGTATATACTTCTTTATAGAATCATTATTCATACTAGTTTAAAGAATCTCTAATGTAAATGCTTTATATTACAGTTAAATGTACATAGAAGATTCTACAGTGCATTGGCATTACATGATTTAGTTAAAGAAGTTCCACTTCATGTAGTTTGTAAAAAATACGGATGTTGTCGTGGAGTATTACAAACCTTACAACAGTCTGCTGCTACATATGCAGGTAAATTGATAAAATTAATAAATTTATAATGATAAATCTATTATATATATAGATATTTATTTATTTAATTATTTACGAAATTCGTATAGCAAAAATCAATTTTATCTTAGGTATGGTCACACAATTTTGTAAGCAATTAGGTTGGGACTGCATGGAATTATTAGTGAGCCAGTTTCAAACAAGATTGCAATTTGGGGTCTGTAGAGAATTGTTAGATTTATTGCGTCTGCCAATGTTAAACGGTTTGCGAGCAAGAAGCCTGTATAAACAAGGAATAACATGTGTAGCGGACTTGGCTGTTGCTAATGAACTTAACGTCGAACGCGCGCTCTATAAAGCTCTCCCTTTTGAAAGGTACGAATTAATTAAATTCTCGTGTTTTTTATATAAAAATTATATATACTTCCTTTTATACACACATATATGTATAAATCTGTATTCATATTCCATATTATTTTTGTATTAATAATTTTAAGAGAAAGATATCAAATTTTATATTTTGTAAAATTTCAAATTTTTATATACATATAATCTTTATATACATTTTAGTGAAAAAGAATACGAAGGAGAATATGCGTTTGAAGCGGAAAAAAGAAATAAAATGAGAACAGTGTTTGTCACTGGAAGAGATGGTCTCACACCACAACAAGCTGCAGTTTTATTAGTTCAAGAAGCAAGGTTGCTAGTTCAGGTAAAAAAGTAACTTATATTTTATAAATAAAATACACCCAATTTCATTCACTTTAAAATAATAATAATAATAAAATAATGATTATTTGTAGAAAGAATTAGGACTCGAGCAACTGCCATGGGAGCAGAACGAGCGATCTCAGATAAATACATATGTAGAAGATGTTGAAGGTACATCTGACATAAAAGAAGAAATTCAGACGGAAATGGATATAAAAAATTCGGAATCTACGAAGATGGAAACATCCATAGTAAAGGACTCAAAATGTGAAAAGCCTGTAAGTAACGAAAATCAAAAGAATGACAATTCGAAACTTTATATTTCTGAAAAACCTGGTGGAAGTAATATGTCCGACAAAAAGAAAATGATTGAATCAAATAATCAGCATTTAAATGAAGCAATTTTATCACCTAAATTCTCGGAAGACGAGAAAGATGCGTCTACCTTCCTCGATATAAGCATTCCCGATATAGTAGCCAACAATGAACAACTAAATACTCCTAAAAAAAAGAAAAATTCTTTCACAACTGATAATAGCATTAACATGAAGAGAAATAGCAAAAATTTAGAAAAATCCAATCTGAATGTTAATGATATACTTAACAAAAAATCAAGAACTTCCAGTTTGAATAATATAAAAAGTAATGACGAAAATTTAACAGACAAAAACGTAAAAGTATCAATTATAGATCAAGACGTTAAATCGTCGTATTCGAAGAGTCCCAGTTTGTTCGATGATAGCTTGAATCTCGACACCCAAATCTGCGACCTTCTTGAACAAAATGTTATGGATATCGCGCGTTTGCCGGAATTAGATTCCAAAATGTTTGCAAGCGATTTGGATCTCGTCACATTACAGAAAAAAATTGCAAGTCCAGATGTCAGCAATGCGCACTTGCAAGGAGAAAATAACGCGAAAAATGTAAACGCAGCGCTCATACAAACGAGAAACAGCATATTGTCATGGGATGACGATTCATGGAATAATTCCGAACGATTGCTAAAGCAGATAGTCCAGGCAAATAGTGATCAAAATAACAAGGAAATCTCTAAACCAAAAATTAAAAATATCGTGAATACAAGTGTATCTATTACGCCAAAAAATACAAAAACTTGCACGCTAAACGATAAAGAAATTGTGCATAAAACGGATATTAAGAAACGTGCTGCTGTAATTAAAGAAAAAGTGCCGCGAAAACCTAAATTGCCAAAAATAGCGAAAGTAGAATCTCCCATAACAAACATAATCGTTTATAGGAACGAAAGGAGAATGTCTGTAGAGTCAAATGATTCGGATGATATCATCGTCGGTTCGCAGCACTTTGAATCTCCTTTCAGCGATAATAAAAATCGAACAAGAACAAAATTGGAGAAAATACGAAAAATGCGTTCCCAAAAACTTGCCGAGAACACAATAACGGAAATAAATAATCGTTTAAACTCTCCTATAAAAGCAATATCGAGTGACACGGCAGATAATAAAACGAAGCAGAAAGTGAAGCCAAAATTGAAGGAAATTTTGGAACGGAATTTGTTACTCACTACAAATTGCAATATAGATAGCGTTATATATAATTCCGAAGATGAGACGACGCTGACATCGGTCTTTAAGACGAAACATGAAACGCAATCAAATATACTGAATAAAAACATAAAATCCAAGATAGAAGTCGCATTACCTGATAACAAAACAGATTTGCCAAGCGAAACGGTAGATTGGAACATATTAAATATTATAAAAGTTGCGGACAATAGAGTGACTTTTAATCTGTTCAAACGCGAAGTATTAAAGAAGCGAAATATCGCATTAGCTTTACATTGCGATAATTTCATGGATAATATAAATAGCATAGGTTCGAAGATTTGTACTTCCAACACAGAGAGAAAACGGAAGTCCAGAAGATCTGGGAATTATACGCACAGAAATATGGAAATACGCGGTGTTGCGATATCCTGGGAAAGCAATATTGCATATTATATCTCGTTCAGTAATTCATCAGGTAATAGAAATGTGTAAAGACATTTGATTAATATTTTCTAATCGCAAAGCATTATCTTTCTAGCATTTTTTTTTGATAGGTAAGCTCTTTAATAGATAAACTAAATATTATAATCATTATTCTCCAGAATCGAAGGTCTCTGGAAAAGAACAAATGGCTCTATTGAAGGAATTATTTGCCGATACAGCTTTGTATATGCGATGCTTTGCGATAAAGGATATATATAAACTTTTATATCAATGTTGTGGAATCTCTGCCAAATGTAGATTTCTGGATCCAATAATTGCACATTGGTTATGCACTAATGATTCCGAAAGAAATTTCAGTGAAATGGTGAGATTTTCAACAATATCTTATCATGTAGGATAACTCAAAAGAAAAGTACATTGAGATTAATGATATAAATATTTTTTAAATATCTTTTTCAAATATGTTAACATTTCTTTCTTTTAAGTGTGGAAAGCTTTTATTTTTTTATGTGAAATATTTCAGCCTAAATATAAATTTTCATTAAAGTTCTGTTTCTAACTTTTTCAATCTATTATTTAAGAAATATATTATATGTATATATATTAATGATATATTTTGGAATTATTAATTTTTCGTCAAATTCTGAACAGGTAACGCAATACTTTCCCCAAGGAAATTTCATAATGAAGCGCACAAATTCTTACTACAATGCGGGTCCCGGGATGGATGTGCGAAGTTCTTTACCGGGCGAATTTAGATCAGCAGCAGAAGCTGTACTAACATGGCACATGATGGACAATGTCATGAGTAAATTAGAGGAACTTAATCCTGTTTTACTTTATACATTTAGAGGTAATAGAGATTTGAGATATATGATCTCTCTCTATACATCCGATACATCCATCAATGCGTGCATTTATTTTCAGAGGTAGAAATGAGAACCGTAACAATTTTAGCTTGTATGGAATTATCGGGTATTGGCATAAATCTAAAATCGTTACAAGAACTATCATTGGTTACTTTAAACGAAATGCAATCTTTAGAAACAAAAGCTTACGATTTAGCAGGTAGAAAATTTAATTTGTCATCATCTAAAGAAGTTGGCCAGGTTTGTGAAGCTAAAATTTTATTATATATATA